TAATCTAGATTTAAACTGCAAGAGTGTGTCTGCCTCCCGAACAATGTTAGGTAGGTTATTCCAGAGTTTGGGCGCTAAATAGTCGTCAAGTTTATTTGTACAGCACTTTTAACCATACAAATCATTGCAAAGCAACTTTACAGCCAATTAAGTTTCTACAATATTTAGTGGTAGTTTATCAGTGGTGACTGTCATTTAATGTACATATGGCAGAAATGTACGGAAAAATCAATTTAAGACGTAATAAAACAGACGATGAACACTATTAACAGCAATTATTATATGATGCAAGCAAACTTATAGCAAAATGTGGTAGTTCTGTATGTTGTTTCAGGGTTGGCATCATCTGGGGTCCTCTGAGGGGTTGGCATCATCTCTTCTCAGGTGTTCTTGATCCAGACTGAAGCTTGTGTAAATCCTAGTTGGCAAAAAACAGAGAAACAAATAGAGACATAATTAGCATAGCTGCTGTTCCAACCAAGCAAAATTTATTTGTTTAACCCAAACTAAAGAATAATAATGTGCATTTGATCAGATATAACTGCAGTAAAAAAAATATGAGATGCATTATTTGAATGCTTGGCCAAAGAGATGTGTCTTTAATCTAGATTTAAACAGAAAGAGTGTGTCTGAACCCCGAACGTTATCAGGAAGGCTATTCCAGAGTTTGGGAGCCAAATGCGAAAAGCTCTACCTCCTTTAGTGGACTTTGCTATCCTAGGTACTACCAAAAGTCCAGAGTTTTGCGACTTTAGGGAGCGTGACGGATTGTAGTGTGGTAGAAGACTAGTTAGGTACGCAGGAGCTAACCCATTAAGGGCCTTATAGGCAAGTAATAATATTTTGTAACTGATACGGAACTTAATAGGTAGCCAGTGCAGAGACTGTAAAATTGGGGTAATATGATCATATTTTCTTGACCTGGTAAGGATTCTAGCCGCTGCATTTTGGACTACCTGTAGCTTGTTTACTGAAGATGCAGGACAACCAGCTAGCAGTGCATTACAGTAGTCCAGTCTAGAGGTCATGAATGCATGAACTAGCTTTTCTGCATCAGAAACAGGTATCATGTTTCGTAACTTGGCAATGTTTCTAAGATGGAAGAATGCCGTTTTTGTAACGTGGGAAATATGATTTTCAAAAGACAAGTTGCTATCTAATATAACACCCAGATTTTTGACTGTAGAGGAAGTAACCGTACATCCGTTTAGTTGCAAATTGTAATCCACGAGATTCGGTCTACTCTCTTTTGGTCCAATAAGTAATATCTCTGTCTTATCCAAATTTAATAGGAGAAAATTATTGGTCATCCAATCTTTAACATTTTTAACACACTCTGTTAGCTTAGATAATTTAGAAGTTTCATCTGGTCTTGTTGAGAGATATACAGTATAGTTGAGTATCATCGGCATAACAGTGGAAACTAATCCCGTATTTTTTTATAATATTACCAAGGGGCAACATGTATATCTATTTGAATAGGTTCATTTAAAATTTTCACTCTCTATAGATATATTTTTCATGTCTGTAATAAGGCAAGAATACACAGAGTTTGAATGTGACGCACTCAAGTTCACAGAGTCTGAGACAGCAGAAAGCACATCCTGTTTGCTTTCATTATTTTTTGAAAATGTTCCGTTGTTATTCTGAGTGCAAACGAATAAACGTAGAGTCTTTCCAGATACAAAAGATGCATTACTCTAATCTGTATGACCAAAAATGATGAAGTATTTTAAGAGCCAATGATCGCCTCCATCTGTTCGCACAAACACGTGAACAGTGCACTTTTTTTCTAGGCTAACATTAGATTGAGCTGCCATGTAAAGTTGCTACTACATACATATTTCAAATGATAAGCCATATTTGAGGTTGATGAATGTTAGGTAAGCATATACTGTAGATGTAGATCAAATCCAAAGAGATATTCTTTATAAAAGTTAAGAGTCAACCACGCCTACCTAAAATGGCTCTTTCTTACATGCCCCCACATGTCTATGTCACGATGTGGGAAGTATGTATTATGTATTTGCATAACGCCGCCCAAATGTTCACGCAAAGAAAGAAGGCATAACTTTTATTCTCGCTGTAGTATTGTTGTTGCCGCCGCCACCATGTCATGAAGGCGCTGTGTGTTTCGTTGTGAAAGCGAAACTACTTTGTTTGGCCTTCCAAAAGAGGACGATATCCGCTTCGTCATGCCTGGAGCTGATCTATGCTGGTCCCTGAGCAAATACATCAACTTCGCGCTGTGGATCGCCGGATCGGCTTTCATCGTCGACGAAGCAGAGTCCAGCCCGGGGTCGCTACATGTGGTTGCCACAAGCCTGCCCACCGGCGCTCACTCAACCCGGCCTCCGCTCACTCTCACTCTAGGCCTCCGGCCTCTACTCACTCTAGCCCACCGTGTGTGACGCTGTGTATCGTTGTGAAAGCGAAACTACTTTGTTTGGCCTTCCAAGAGAGGACATGACTAGAAATCAGTGGTTAAGTTGAATTTACAACACTGTTCCAGAACATTTCAACCCAAATATTCCTATGTGTCCAGCGCATTTTATGGAGGACTGTTTCCTAATCCTGGTAGAGTAGACTACAATTCCGGCTGTTCTGACTCACAGACTTTAAGTACGTTTTTTACATTTTTAAAGAATTTGCCACTGACATTTCTAACACGAGTTTTGAATAGTGTAGAGTAGCGTTTGTAATTTTAAATTTTTCACAAATGCACGTTTTGTGGTTTACATGCATTTATATGGTTTTATGTTTATGCGACACGATGCAATGCAACTCTTCAAAAGAGAGTATAAGTCATTATAATCCGTAATTATGTCCCCACTGGATGCAACAAATGCCTCATTTATAATGGGTTTTAATGTTTTTGTCTCATCGCTCCGGCCGGGACAAGGCATCAACAGTATGGTAAGGGGCGTAACATTTCCGTCACACGCTTGAAGTATTCGGCCAATCACAATGCACTGGATACCTGGCCAATCAGAGCACACCTCACTTTTCAGACCGATGAGCATTGTAAAAATCGACATGTTTCAGAAAGGCGGGTCATAGAGGAGAAACAATAATGTACAGTATGTGGAAAATAATGTGTTTTTTTAACCTTAAACTGCATAAACACATTTCATTACACCAAATACACCAAATAATGTTCTTTTTAGCAACATCATATGACACCTTTAAGTAGTGGGGTTATACAAGCCTGTCTAAATAATGAGGAAAAAAACCCCAGTGTGAAGGGATGTGTAATGATGTGAGTGAGTGTAGGTACAACTGCAGGAGAAATGGCTTGAAGAAGATGAGATGGAATAGGATCAAGCGGACAAGTAGTAGGATGATTAGAAAGGATGAGTTTGGAGACTTCTGCCTCAGAGAGTGAAGAGAAGGATGTGAACGAGTGTATGTTTGCTGGTAAGATGTGCTTGACAGATTGTGGTGTGGAAAATTGTGCACTGATGGTTTTAATTTTATTAATGAAGAATGATATATATATATATATATATATATATATATATATATATATATTAGTAAGATAAATATCCATATTTCAAAAGTAATAAACACTTTCCTCTCACTTCCGGCATTCTGTCATATGCAGAAGGCGTTCCGGCGGATGACATAGAACATCGGTGTTGCGTGATTAGTGACAGAGAGAGAACAAAACAAAACGCCGATCACGAATCAGAAGCACAAAACGAGGATTTGTAAAGAAAAATGTCGGAGGATTTTTATATATATACAGTGGGTACGGAAAGTATTCAGACCCCCTCGGCCTGAGGATGCTTTTGTATTCAAAAGGACTTCATGTAGCTTCTGTAAACATATAAGCAAACCCAGACAAAATATGTTACTTTTTTTTAATACATTCTGCTCATCTTTTGAGAAATTCTGAAAAAATTCTGAAAAATAGTTTTAAAAATTAAAGTTTTTAAAATATATCATAAAATTATATATATATATATATATATATATATATAGATATATATATATGTATATATATATATATATATATATTATATTATATATATTTTTTTTTTTCATACAGACTTTGAACATGACAGAATGACTGTAAGAAGAATAAATAAAAACAGGGTTTTTTTTGTGTGTAAAACTGTAAATGAAGTCCTATTCACACCCAATAAAATTTTGCATGTAGGTGTGTGCATTTAAGTGTGAGCACTTCCTGTGGGATAACAATGCTGCAGAGGTGAGGCCTGCACTCTATAGCACTTTAATTAAATCTCCATTATTGATTCAGTATATTTGCTGTCTGTGGATGTTTGCGCTTCTCTGTGCACTTGTGCTGGCTGCCTTTGGAGGGGGAAAAAACAGAGTTTAAGAGATGAAGGGTAAAGATCACCTTTAATAATCTGCTAGGTGCTCAGTTTGGTTTGACAAAGAAATATGAGAATATTTGTGTTTAACACCAGTTTCACAGCAAATGTGTAAAGCCCTCAATGGGACATCAAAGTGAATGAAGCGTGACAGTCAACCTGCAGGAAACATTCATCAGGTCAGAATCACCACTTCTCTGTGAACATTAGCTTTGTTAATAATGAGAGCATGAAGAACTTCCCTTGAAGGTTCCAAGGTTGGGCGTTATTTATAATTCCTCATTCATGCTGGGTTT